CCCGCGGTGCCACGCACGGCATCCTCCCCACTGCTACCTGGCACTGCTCCCGGCTCAGCTGCGTGCCTGTGGGGCACAAAGGGGACATGGCCCGCAACGTCCGTGCCCATCCCGAGCATCCCTGCGGCTCCAGGGCACCCCATCCCGCTGCCTCCACGTACCTGCCCCTGCTGAGGGGTAGAAGAGGGCCGTGGATTGCAGGAGACTGGGCTGGGATTGAAGGCCAGGACGCATCAAGCCAGGTTGGGCTTGGGGCTGGAGTCCTGGGCGCCCCACACCCGGCTGGGGCTGAGCGTGGAGACCGGGACGCAGCAAACCCGGTCGGGATTGGAGCCCTGCATGGGTTAGACCCGGGCGGGAATGGCTGGGATGGACCAGCCCAGCTTGGTTCTGGAGCCCGGGATGGACACGGCCCCCTTGGGAATGGGGCTGAGGGTTGGGATGAGTTAAACCCGGCTGGTTTGGGGGCTGAGCTGCTGGCCGGGCAAAGCCTGCGTGGGTCTGAGCACCAGCGTGCGTGAAGCCACCGGCACCATGCCCCAGCCCAGGCTGGTTTTGGGTCTGAACCACTGGACGAAGAGCTCCTGGTTGACTTTGAGCTCCAGGATGCACCAAAAGAGGCTGGTTTGGGGTCTGAATTGCTGGACGAAGCCGACCTGGTTGAGTTTGACCTCCAGGATGCACCAGCACAGGCTGGGTTTGGGTCTGAGCCACTGGACGAAGAGCTCCTGGTTGAGGCTGAGCTCCAGAATGCATCAACCCAGGTTGGTTTTGAGGTGCAAGCCCCGGACGAAGATGATCTGCTTGATTCTGACCTAGCAGACCAGGCTGGTTTTGGGTTTGAACCACTGGACGAAGATGTCCCGGTTGGCTTTGAGCTCCAGAATGCACCAGAACAGGTTGATTTTGGGTTTGAACTGCAGGATGAAGAACTCCTGGTTGAGTTTGTCCTCCAGGATGCCTCAACCCAAGTTGATTTTGGGTCTGAACTGCTGGACGAAGATGACTCGGTTGATTTTGAGCCCCGGGGAGCACCATTCCAGGCTGGTTCTGGGTCTGAACCCCTGGATGAAGAACTCCAGCTTGATTCTGAGCCCCAAGATGCACCAGACCAGGTTGGTTTTGGGTCTGAACCCCTGGATGAAGACGACCGGGTTGACTTGGCGCTCCAGGATGCCCCATTCCCGGCTGGTTCTGGGGCTGCAGGTCTTGGGGCGCCCCGAAGTGCTGTGTCCGTACCACGGGGTGAACCTGCTCCGGGTGCACTTGGGATGCTGGGATGCTGATGGAGGATTGGGACACTTGGTGCAGGAGGCCCGGCTGGGACAGGGGGACGGGGACACCAGCCTGGCTCTGGTGGATGCTGTTGCCACGACCACCCCCGTGATGCTCGGTGCGTGCGGTGAGGAGCTCGTCGTCCCCGGGCTGTGGACAAGTCATGTTGACTTCATAGGAGGTGACCAGGACCCCGCTGAGCAGCGTCTCCTCCAGCTGCACCCGCAGGACGTAGCGGTCCTCCTGCAACGGGATGGGGGGGACAATGACCCACAGCACAACGG